TAATAATAATAATAATAATAATAATAATAATAATAATAATAATAATAATAACAACAAAAACAACAACAACAACAACAACAACAACAACAACAATAATAATAATAAGCGCCGTGGCACGTATGTACGTGTTGCTTTTCCCCAGAGGCCATTAGAATACACAGAGTCTGGCAATCTCCTAGACCTCTTTTCATTGGTCAGAACACACAATGGCGTAACCAATCACAGTGTACATAAACACACAACTACATTGCTAGACACTAACACAGTAATACATACTATGCACTAATCTCTCGTATACAGACACACGGCCATTTTGTGTTCTTGGCCAGACTCTGTATTCCAGGGACTCTAGTTCCCTTGCTGCGCGCGCCGCGTATGTACGCGAGGGGATCACGTGTTGGTTTTATCACAATGTTTATATATGAATGCATGTTGATAGAGAAACCGCGCATCGCTTTTCTAATTAAAACTACGAGCAAGCGAACCGTATAATAAGAGGCGTTTAAATCTCTTTATCGTCAGGAAATCATACGCCACACACTCGATACGAAAGGAGAGCGAATAGTTCCGCCGCAAACGCAATCCGAGGTGGTCGCGCTCTTCCTGTATCTAAAACTAAGGATTCTCGTTCGCATTTATTGGTTTGCTCCTTTGTCGATAGATACCTACGTTTTTATTACGCGTATCCCGCCCTGTCGAGAAGCCGATTGATGCCATAGTTGGTGACGCAACCGCCAACTTTCTCTTTAATATCGTGGAACATTACGCGATGTTGAACATTACCGGCTTCTCGTTTCAGTTGTTCGACATGAATAAATTCCAAACGAATTTATCGCGAGAGACGCGAAGGGCCTACCCAGACAGACGGCGATTGGAGATGCAGTGCCTGAGCGCTATCATATTCGTGAGAACGGAAGCCGACTTGCTTCAGTGCCCCGTGTGGGTGCTGATCGTCAACGTAGTAGGATTGGACATGCTCAAGTCGAAGCTGCCACCAGGTATGCTGTGAGGAAAGCATGTGACATACATTAAACGCCATATTTCATATACTGCCATTTTCATATACTGTTTATGAACAATATTCGACATTTGTCTAATTGAGGCCTAGATTAGAAGTCGCGTTAAAGTTATTTAACCCTAGGTATACTGCTCAGTCTTATTTTGTCTACGTATTATACACCGTAGGGTATCGATCCACATTTGTCATCGTAACTTCAGTAAAATGGATATATTTCAGTTTATTTTTTATTTTTTTTCCAATTGATCAAGAGAATCAATCAAGGGACAAGCTTATGTATAAAAGTCGATAGAATAGGGTTTTATAAAGTAAATTTCTGAAATAAAATTGTCATTTTTATCAACTATGATATAAATAACCCTTCGTGTGTAACGTCTGGTCATTCGTGCCCTGGCGAAAGTGACTGTCCCCTGTAGCTCGAAGGGAGAGGGGGGGCGGGACCAAACTATACTGAAAAAAATTGTATACTACTAAGCTACTAGCTCCCCAAGTGCCGACGGTCTAGTGCGTAAACAGCCGTTGTGAGAGCCAGACGAAATTTTAAAAGTGCACGAGTGACCCGACGTTACACGTTACGTTGATTAAAAATAGCAGGTGAGTAAAATGTTTATTTTAATTTGGATGTTTTTTTTATTAAAAATTCATGTTCTTTCATTGGGAATTGATAGATTAATCTTAGTTATCGATAAATAATATGTTTTGACTGTGCACAATAATTTAGCCTCGATATAATTTTTTCATATTTTTGTATTTTTTTATAATTTTGTAATAAATAATTGTGATTGATTACATTTTCATGACAAAACGTGATTAAAAATGAATAAAATGTGTATTTTACTGTAATTTGTACCTATTTACGTACTTTCAAAAAACGTGACTTTGATGCTCAAAACTTAAGCATCCCATTAATTTATACATACTTCTAATATTTTTTTCTTTAAAGTACTATTCTTAAACTTTAATTTCTTTTTTTTTTAATATATTAATTTTTGCCAAAATTACGATTTTTTGAAAAAAATGGTCCATTCTTCATGTTTTTATTTGTTTATATAAATATATTGTTTAAACAAATGAAAAAATCGGCAATATAGCGATTGATCCTTAAAGTAGGATAGTTAATAACACGGTCTTACATACAGGTCTGGAAACTTCAATGGTGGGGGTAGGTCGCTTAGTGAAGTTGTATTTAAGTCATCTAATAGCCACTAAAGTCGTTGCGATCGATGTTCCCGCGAAGGGAAGAGAGACGCGAATTCTCGGCGAGTTTCGCGCTAGGAATAGAAAGGAAAAGGAGGATTTTCATGTGGATTGACTCGAGTTTTCGGCGATAGCTTCTCCGCAGTGGATTCTGTCAGTGGAATTAACGTCTTTTTTCTTTTTTTTTTTTTTACATATGCGGTATCGCCGTGACGCGGTAGTTCTTTACCCGCCATCGGCCGTTTTCTTGAGAAGCATTTTAGGCACACGTCAGGTTTCATTATCCTTGAACTAGCATCCTTTCCTCTCCTTTTTTATATATTATTATAACCATAATTTTCATATATATCATCGTACTATTGTAATATATTACTATATTACTACATATTATTATATTATCATATAATTATTGATACATATTTATCATCTTATATATTCTTTCTTTTTCTTCTTCTTTCTCATATTCTATCGTTAGATGCGAGTGACTTTTTAGCAGAAAAGTCAGCCCGGAAAGTCTCAGTCCGCTCATTTAAGCTCGAAAATGAAAATGGTCGGAGGACGATATTGAGAAAAAGGAGAGAGGGGTCTGTGGATGGGTCCCTCGTTGGCGAGGGACGCCGGAGGCCGGGGGGGATATCTGTCATATGAAATTTGGCGGAGTGGTTTTGTGTCAACTTCGTAATCTCGACATTATGGGTTCGAATCTCCGTGCCCTTAATTTTTTTTTTTAATCCTTTCACAATAATAATGTGATAAATAATAATGCTTTAAATAATTAAAGACTACAAATTAATAAAATATGTATAAATATAAATATAAATAAAAATAAATATATAAAAATAAATATAAATATAAAATAAATACGAGTTTTTATTCTAAAAATTAAGAACAAATAAAAATATTTTTTATGTGTTTATTTTTATTCTTTTTTTTTATTTTTGTGGGTATTCCAGGTTGTCAATGTCTTTCGGCACTCGAAATAGAGAACGTTTCTGCTCGGTTTTGCTACCGGTTTTGCAATTCGGTACCGCACACCACTTTGTCATATTTCAAAAAGTTTTTTAATGTCAAACACAATCGTGGAAGCAGATATCTCCGCCAAATTTCATATGACAGATATCCCCCCCGGCCTCCGGCGTCCCTCGCCACGGCGCGAACATCGATCGCAACGACTCTAGTGGCTATTAGATGACTTAAATACAACTTCACTAAGCGACCTACCCCCACCACTGGAATTTAGCGGTAGTCTCCAGACCTGTATGTAAGACCGTGGTTAATAAGGTAACATGAATTTTTTCAGATTTTTTTAGAACACTTTAAAGTATTTTTTAGGCGTCGGACACGAGTGACCCGACGTTACCCGTTACAGGTGTCGAAAAAGACGTTACACACGAAGGGATAATAATTATTGCAAAAAGAAAAAAATTGTTTATGCTATGTTTTCCTGTAAAATGAGCTTTAAAGTTTAATAAAAATTTCAAATGTAGTCACGTGATCTGAAACGCCACGCTATCGGTGTGACGTCATAATGTGAGAGCCCGTTCAGACGTGCCCTTTATGGACAAATCAACAACCGATTCTTGAATAATTATCGGCATAAAAATGGCAAATAAACTTGAATCTGGCTTTGTAAAAGCCGATGCACGTAATCTGCTACGAGTTGATATGTTCATGATATTGGATTTATGGGAATCAGGCGATAGGTTATGTGTGTCTCCAAAGAGACGGACAGATCTGCACGATTAAAGGTGAAATTTCATGGGCAGTAAAAAGTAGCAGCAGATCGTACTGATTGGCTACAAAATAGAGAAGTTCTAGGAACTCGAGAACTTCTCTATTTTATAGCCAATCAGTACAATCTGCTGCTGCTTTTCACTGCCCATGAAATTTCACCTTAAGGGGATCCTAAAGTGAAGGCTGAACTTCCTCGACGTCGGTAATGTCAACATTTCTAATTCTGTTTTCTTGTCATATATCTATATCTGTCCTTGTCTAACGAGAGGCATCTGTCTTTGTTCGATTACTGCGCCATCTCTTGCCACACGCAATATTGCTTATCCTGTCAACCTGAATGTGCTTTTGCACATATAAAAGTTATATAAAGTAATCTTTTTTTCTAGGTTTTCAATCTTAGATCTAATTGCACGATATTGTTCTTAAATGTTGTCCCTAGGTCATGCCGGTCTAATTTTGTGGATATTTATCGTGGAATTTTTGTACAAAGCAAATATTGTCGTCACGTATACCAAAAATTAACAAAAATATTAATTTTTTTTCGTTTTCGATATAAATTTGACCACCATGACCTAGTTTTTGATGCGTACTTTAATTCTAGACAAGAATTTTGCATTTCTATAAAGTCAATTAAAAGATTAGTGCTAAGAAAAAAAGCCGGTATTACAGACGGCTTTAGGATCCCCTTAAGGGTCGGCAGGAGACCCAGGCAAACTCAGGTACACTCAGGTGCACTTTATGCACTAAGTGCACGTTAAACTGCACTTTATTCCGTATTTTATTTATTATAAATTTTTAAGAGCAAAAATGCAAAATCGGGCTCTGTAGGTGACTGCATTATTATATAGAGTATATAAAAAAAAAAATTCACGAATCTATGTAATTTATTTTATGATCCGTAATTCGTAATAACAAGATTTCTCATAAAATAAGTTACATAGATTCGTGAATTTTTTTTTAATATACTCTTTATATAATAATGCATGCAGTCAGCTACAGAGCCCTATTTTGCATTTTTGCTCTTAAAAATTTATAATAAATAAAATACGGACTCGCAGCGAGTCGCAGCTAAGCCAACCCGACAGAGGTCTTCACCGTATCTCCTGCCGACCCTTAAGGCTCCTGGGTAGTCACCGCGGCCATATTGGATTCTTACTATCGAGGCAAGGAAAACACCTAATTTTAAGTTGCGGTATTTTCCGAAATAAAAAAACATTTCAATAAAAAATCACGACAGATCGTTTCAGCACACTTCAAAAATTGACCGGATACTATCCTTTTCCCTCGACAATAAACAAACAGCCATAAAACGAAGCTTAAACATACGGAAAACAAGCCGTTTGACGACTATCGAAAGGAGTGGTGAATGTTCCTTCCGCATATATATTTCTTGCAAATCTTACCATACGGTCAATTTTACGAGTTTCACGAATACGTTAAACGTTAGAGCACAAGTACAGAGCGAATAGTAAAGAAATATACCGCAACTTAAAATAAGGTTGTCAACATGTCACAAGACAGAATTCTCCATTGGAGAGAGTGAGAGGAGAGAGTTCTTATTTCTGCCGCGACGGTACGGCGCCACCGTCAACGCAGAGTTCTCGGCTCAGGGACCAGGAGCCTTAAGGCCCAGTTTCACATGTGTCGGTTATTAACTTTTAACCCTTCGTAGTCACACTTCTGTAGAATCCCGTGTTAGTCATACTGGGTCATATTGACCCAGTCGATTTTGAATGGTTGTCATTTTAATGATATCGGTCCGATCGAGTTCAAATCATTCTGGAACATACCTTGAACATTCTAGAATATAAAACAACTGCGATTTTGTGAGAGATCAAATGGCAACATATGTTGAAAAAAAAATCGTGAACGAGATACATGCGTAAAAAAGTAGTTTTTTCACTTAAAAAATCATAACTTTTTTAATTTTGTTATTTTTTAAAATTAGCAGGTTATACTTCTAAGATACGACACTTTAAGAAAAAAAATAGTCCTCTAGTGCGCGTTTCAAAAAAGGTATTTATTCTTTATTCCGGCATATAAAAAGGCCCGATTTTGGAGTGAAAAAAATGTGGATTTATCAGAAAATAATGTGTTTTATTATTATTATGGATATTCTGAGTACACAAAAATATAAGTATTATTGTTTTTTCGTTATAAAATGACAAAAAAGTCATTTAGTCATTTTAGTCAGTGCAACCGTTTTAACCGTTTTATAATAATAACACCGTTATTATTATAAAAACAATGGAAAAAATATGTCGCAGGTGCCACAGTCACACTTACGGTTCAGACACTTGTTATAAGCACAATAAAAAAATCCGATTTTTTAAAACTAAAATTACGTGCTAGTCACACTACGGGTCAATGTGACCCTCATTCGTGCACGATGTTTTCGCAACCGCTGTCATATAAACACTGACGCTTTAGTCAAATGACTAACGGTCTCTACCTATAGAGGATGCTTCAAACTCTTGGTAGATGACGGTCCAAGCCTCATTTTAAGCCAGGCACTTACCGATATTTAGCTTCAAACTTGAGCGCGGGTCAAAATGACCCATGTGTGATTAGGAAGGATTAATCTTTAGATTAACTCACTCTTCGTCTCTTTCTAATGTCCCCCTTAGAAAGAGACGAAGAGTGAGTTAATCTAAGATAAAAAGTTAACCGACACTTGTGAAACTGGACCTATAAGGCTAGAGTGCGTCCAGGGGCTCGATTCTTGAATTCATTCGCAAGAGAAACGTGTACAAAAATTCTGCTCTTACAGAAACATTGCACGTTAATTGGTTAAAAGCTATGTGATAGCCGATCGATTTGTAAATTTTCTGTAAGAACAACATTTGCGCATACGTTTCTCTTGCGAATGAATTCAAGAATCGAGCCTCTGAGTATCGGGTTCGAGAGAAAGGGTATGCTGCGTGAGCTATGTCATTGAGTGCGTTCCGGCAAGACACCGCTACAGCTTTTTCAAGCTTTTTTGCTATATTTTGTAGCACTATGCTATAGTTAGCGTTACTGATTATTGGTGATTATTGGCTATCTGTGTAGCGCTACGGTAGCGGTAGCGGTGTCTTGCCGGAACGCACTCATTAACATTGGATGAAGACTGAAAACTTTTTTCATTTTTTGCAAACTATAATATCTTTTTGGTGCAACGGAGATGTTCGAGGTCTTTTCAAGATTATGTCATCTTCAATGAATGTTATTGTATTTTCTAAAACATTAAGGGCCAATTTCACCAACCACAGTTAGCTTAACCGACGGTTAAAGTTAGCAGGATTGACCAATAGAAATAAATCCACCCTGCTTTCTATTGGTCAATCCTGTTAACTTTAACCGTCGGTTAAGCTAACTGTGGTTGGTGAAATTGGCCCTAAGTGTCTCATTTTCTTTGCTTCCTGAAAATCCCGACCAGGAAAAACAACTAGGATCATTGCATTTATATCGAAACTGCTCAATTGGAACCGCAGTAGCTATGCTGATTACAATAACGAGGTTTGACCATATTCGGTTCTCACATCGTGATGTCACGAACCGCTTCGGTTCATTCTGGAGCGTTTAAATAGAGCTTCGCGGGTCCGATTATTTAACAAGCCATAACTCGTTAAATAATTGAGAAAAAAATTGGGGAAAAAATTTGTATCATAAAGTCATATATACATAAATTAAAATTCCATAAAAATTTGTTTTCAACCCTATAAAGAGTTCCGAGATATTATATGGGTAAAAAAAGAAACAAAAGTCTAGAAACGCGAAAAAATCATGTCTCTTTTGTTTATATATAGACCGATTTGAAAAATTCTTGCAAATTCTGTGAAAGGGCGTTAGTTAAAACTATATAAAAAATTTGGCGTCCCTATATTCCAATTTTTTCAACAAAATTACAAGAGATACAAATGACGAATTTTCTATTTTTTATTTTTCGGGCGTTTTTCGAGGTAGTATGAAATGTTTAATTTTTGCTCCTAAAACTTTAGTTGTAGTATGTTGTTTTACCGTAACTTTTACCGTATATTATTAGTTCGTTGACATGTGTAGTAACACGTAGTAGATACATAAAAACATTTAAAAACTATATAATAATATGAATGCGGGTAGAAAGATAAAACGAATTCTTACGAAAATCGATATGCAATGTAAGTTATTTATTCTTCACTTTTTTAATGAAAAATACAAAAATATTACATTTTAAATGTTTACATCTTCTCTGTGCAGCGACTGCATAACAAAGAGCGGTGCGCTTAATTCGCATCTCGGAACGCATCGTGGACACGCTAATTGAGTTTTTTAACCCATATCCCGGGGGCAAAATCAAACTCTTTTTGAAAGTTTGTCATTCTCTGTACGTTCCTGCTGTCGCGCGTTTTCGCACGCGTCTCCATGTTTCAACTGTAAAATAGGTTACTGATTTATTTGCGTATACCTTTTATTTTCCTGTCGATCTCCGGGTAGAAAAAAACCATAAAAACATTGAATAAATACTATTTTCAATGAATATACAATATTATAAACGTAAAACGAAGCAAATTAGAAAAAATACCTTGGAAAAAGTTGCACCGTATACACTGTAGGATCTCGGAGACCTTAAACTCATTTCGTATGTTCACTGCTCGGTGGTTTAGCGACGAATGGCGCGGGTCGACGCGTCTGCCTATTGAGAGGACCCCAAGCATCCTTTTCTTACGTCAACGTCCTGAACCCTTACCCTTCCAATTCTCGAAATGTCAACTTAAGAAAGTTGGGCCTGAATTTCGGAGACTCTCCTGTGTATACGTAGGGTTAAGAGACAAGATATATTTCTTTAATTTTTCAACAATTCTAATAAACATTATCCAATCGACATTCTTTTCGGTCTATCTTTGGATAGAATTAAATATGATATTTCTTTGTGTCTCGATATCTGTTCCCTGCCTTCGATTAATTTATATCATCTCTCATTATGTGTGTGTGTGTGTGTGTGTGTGTGTGTGCGTGTGTGTGTGTGCGCGTGCGTGCGTGCGTACGTGCGTGCGTGCGTGTGCGTGTGTGTATATATATATTTTTTTCTTTAGTTTTAGCATTACAGAGGCCGGTGGATATAAAAAATAGACCTAGAATACCAATTCCTGACGAGGATCCCTATAGCGTGGCCGGTGTGTCGTCGTCCGTAGGTCCTAGCGAAATAATGACGGACAGGGACTCACGGGAACAGATCTACATGCAGTCGACAAGTTACCAGCATCGACGTGCGGAAAGACCACCGAAATTGCCGCCTAGAGAAAATCTCTACGGCCACGGCATCCCCAAGGTAGACATTAAAAACGACACGTTAGATTTAAGGTTTGTTCGCGTCGCACGCCCCACCATGCTCCTACGTATACTCACTCCAACGCACTCCAAAAACTCATCTGCTCCAATCGCCACCCTTTATCCGTGATCCAAGTGTCTCTGGTGTATATTGGAGTATGCGACGCGAACAAACCTTTAGAGTTGTGCCGTTAAGTTGAATATAATACTATACTACTTGACGTCTATTATTTCAGCCTGATTACGACGATATAGATGACGACTATGGCAGGGCGATGAAACACCCCATGATGGAAGAGAAGCGAAGTAAACATGACGATAGGAAAAAATACGGTGAGTCGCGTTTGTCATCATGTCCCGTTTCTATGATATGTATAATATACATGATCAATATTAAAATTTCTGTAATTACGCGTATTAATATTAATTACATTAAATATGTTGAATCTAGAGCTCTTTCCAAAGAAAGACATCCATATTTACGTATTATGTTTATTTTATATTATTTTTATATTTTTATATTATGAGTTATATATTTATACCTCTCATAATTCGTGACTACGTGCTTTAGACGATCCATATTACTGCGGTTTACGGGCACGCGTGCCTAATTTCGTCAAAATGGCGAGAAACGGTCATGGCAAGGTGGGCCCACCCCCGCCTCGAGGACACCCCAGGACACAGCCGGCGCCGTCTTATGCGGGCGCCGCTTACGCTAGTAGTCAATCTTCTCAAATATATGGGCATCTGCCGCCCCATCGACCACCCATTATGTATCACGCCAGAAGCTTCGAAAGTGGACTTGGTAAGAAGCAATTTTGAGTATAATTATTATTTTTTATTTATCTTAAAAAACAATCGCTATTATGTATATTAGTTCAGCGCAGTAGTTTTACCACGTAAAACAACGTAAAATGACTTGTAAACTGTGACTTATTATTTTAGATCAATATTTTTTGTTACTTTTTGCTTCCGCATAGAGGAAGCTTTGTTTTCATAAACTTCGTATATGGACTTTTGATCGCATATAAAGCTAGTTCTAATCAACCAAATTTTAAAGAATTATATATGAAATAGGGGTAGAAAAGACCAAAGAAAAAATTGTTTTTTTAGTTTTTGATGCCAATGTGTTCAAAATGTTCTAAAACGTTGGAAAATCGTAATTTTAAAAAATTTCCGTATGTGTGTGTGTGTGTGTGTGTGCCAAATTTACCAAAATTTCTATAACTCAAGAATTGATTAACCAAATCTTAAAGAATCATATATGAAATAGAGGTAGAAAAAACTGAAGAACATAATAGAATTAATAAAAATTGTTAATAATAAAGGGGTTATCGATTTCTATCTAAAAAAATCTACATGATTACTCTAATTTCCGCAAATTTTGAGATATCGAGCTTATTTTTTTTTTTTATGAATAGAGAGTATCATTAAAGGTAGGTTGGTGTTGAAGTTGGCAATGATCGGTGAAGGGGTTACCGATTTTTGCCTAAAAAGTGTACAATAAGTTATACATGTAATCTTATATATAAAGTATCATTAAAGGAAGGTTGTTTTGAATTTGACGAAGATTGGTAAAAGGATTTCTGCCTAAAAAATATATAGGGTAGACCGAGGCGAATCGGATTACTAATTAGTAAGATAAAGCAGTTCGTTTGAAACAAAAATAAACACTAACAAAAACTGTCTTAAAACTTATATTGATCCGACTCGCCTCGGTCTACCCTAAGTCATTTGAAAGATAGAGTATCATTAAGAGGATCCTATAGCGAAGGCCGAACTTCCTCGATGTCGATAATGTCAACATTTCTAATCCTGTTTTCTCTAGAGACCCTCTAACAGAGTCTGGCCATAAGG